CGTTAACCAAATATCGAAGTTCAAGAATGTATACTTTTCATTGCCTTAAGAAGATTTGTTTGATAAATTCAAGAAGAAAAGGAGAAGAAAAAAAAGAATACCGGTAGGAGAAAGGGGAACAGGCATTATCTGTTCTGGATAATGGGAATTGCATGTTTAACGATCTACTCCCTAGCATCATTATCATTTAGATATCTGGGATTGGATGAAGAATGAAAAATCTCACTAGCCATTTATCTCATGAGTGGGCTAGAAGGGACCATCTTCCACAGATACTCAGATTAAACCATTTATATGAATGGGTTAATAAACGCCACTATATATGTGTCGCTGTTGGCATAGGCTTTATTCCTGCGCTGGCACATTTTCCCAGCTATTCAAGTGAAACTTTCTTTTTCACTGTGGAGAGTAATTGACATAATGGACCCATCTGTTTCTCCCGATGAGAAGCTCATATCGAATTTCTTCGGCCCAGTTGTTCCACGGCATGAGATCATTCAATCTATCATGGACGGAAATCATGTTCAGAGACAAGCTATGCATCTAGTATTCACGAGTGGTCATCACTGGATCTTAACACTAAGCTCGAGTAAGCAAGCTTCGACATGGACTCCCATCATGCACAAGCACCGGTATATATCCATAGAACAATATTTATGCAGAAATTGGCACGTACACAGTAAGCCAGGATGACGAAGCTACTTCATTGATCAAAACTGACGGCCTAGAAGAAGTGATATTGGACTTTCCAAGACTTGTGCAGGGGCTTCTGATCAATGTAAAAGCAAATTGACCTGACGACCATACCCAAGATCAGGCTCCGTAAATCAGTATCATCTTCACTCCAGTGCCTTCGTTTTCACCAAAATATCAAGCATAATTTAGAGCTTCAGCTAGCTTCTCAATATGCCTAGCTTATATGTGTCTTTACCATCCTCAGTCCCTATTGCTTACTCCACAAGGAAGAATTTCAATGCATATTAATATCAAGAACACGAAAACTCCGCAATCTTGTTGACCACACCATTTCAACAGTGGGCGAATTGCACTAGCAGCTGGGGGCCCTCCCAGATACAACCTGGTAGACAACTTGTCCAAAGAACGATTAATGGCAATAATAGAGCCAGTGAATTGAGTTCGATGAAGGGACATATATATACCAAGGCAAACTTTTGCTGGATATATATCAGCAAATAGCACACACGTCACGAAGGTGTGGGAGATGCGGTAGGAGCTATGCGCTAACATTTGAGGGATCAAAGAAAGCGCCTGAACGATGTAACAGTCGAAACCGATATTTTAGTCAAGAAACATAGAGATCTCGTTTTTCCAGAAAGTTCTTGAAATGAGAATACTGACTTTTTATACTCAGAATATCATACATGACCTTCCTCCCTTCTCGAAAGGTCAAAACAAACCCAGTGGTACACACATAAACCTCCCAAGATAAAAAAAAAACCATTCATTTCCTGTACAAATAGAAACCTTACAGTATATCGCAACATCACAAGGAAATCCTTTACCACTAAACCTGTACCACACAATCACCGCGGCACATAATTAACATCCACTCAACCAACCAACCAACCAACCAACCCATCCAATGATTCCACCCCCTATTCACCACACCCAATCACCAATTAATCAATCAACCAACCGTCACTCAACCCGCAAACTACCTCTGACACTAGCAGTCTAACACTCATTCATGAGGCTACCTAAACCCTAAATCATGCCATCCACGTGCATCACGTAATACAGCTACAGCATACACCAGCAGCATGCGCGATACCGTAACACAACACACCGCTACTAAAGTACTTAACACTTACAGTTACACATACACAACCGCTATGTCCTTCTATGGCCCGTTGCAGGTGCTGGATCACAGGCAGGATTCATGTATTCCGTTTTGTGTACAGACAGGCAGGTAGGTAGGTAGGGGAATTAATTTTTATTGATGCGATCATGACATAACATACATACCATACCATAACATGGCATTCGTAATTTTTGACACGCTGTGTACCGGTATCCTGCAATGAAATTCCGTGGTACAGGTATTACTATAGAGATCAAGATACCAAGGAGATTTATTCCAGGCCTCTGAAATAGCAGACGGAATATATGCATCAGCGTGAGTGAATCAAGAGATGATGTATCTATACCATTTACCCCTTCATCAAAGTACAAATCAATCGTGAATTAGAATACTCAAGTTCCCTCCATTCAATCTCTTCCAAATATAATATAGATCTAATTAAGTAAGTACGTACATTAGTCTGCTAATGAGAGTCGTATCAACATCCAAATCTATCCAAACCGATCAAAACAAATCAAAACAAGTCATAAATCTCAGCCGCCTTACCAAATGAGCACGAGAATAACAACCGCAACCGCAATCACAATCACAATCACAATCGCAATTGTAATCACTGCAAGCTTTTGTTCCCTCCCAATCCCAATCCGAATCCTTGAAGTGAATTGATAAGTTCCAGTTCCCTCCTTACCCACTAAACTCCATGCCAATACCGGTACCTACTAGGTATACCTTTCGTATCCATCGAACGAACCCACTCATCGCGTCTTATCCACAATTTCACTCCTCATCATCCCCACATACCCACTCTCGCTATCCGTATAGGAAAACGGCCGTTCTCTCTCCGGAGAAGGTGCGCCCGCCGTCATACTCGCGCTTCGGCTTGGCACTGGTAATTCTATTGGGCCTTGTCCTTGGTTCTGTTTTTGTTTTTCTTGTGTTCTGTTGTTGCATGATTAGCATACGCACGTTCAAAAGGTTTTCTCAAGATAGGATTCAAAGATATCTAAAAAGCTGCCAGAATAATAACATACCTGAAAGCCTCTTGCACAGTCCTATCATCCATCTCACTCAATGTTGGCTTCCCAATTGGCTGTGCCTTCAAATGGGCCTCGTGATTATACGCCGGGCTAGGGAATCCAGGACTCCCCATCGGACTTCCTACCGACACACTCTGATATTGACCGTTTCTAACCGTCTGCATACCCGTCTCATCAATCGGCGGACTTCGACTTCTGAAACTATTTGCATCGGTTTCCGTGTACGCGCCGTTATGAGGCGAGAAGCGTCCAGATGCAGAATCCATGGCTGTTAGACCGGATGAAAATTTCGTCATGTTAGGATAATTGGCTTCGGAAACTGTAGTGCCTCCTTGAGACATGTAAGAATTATGGTTGTTGTCGAAAGCATTGTTGGTTTGCGGTCCGTTGGATGGTCCATTATGAAAGACTTCCTTCATCATTCGATGGCGGCCGCACATATAAAAGAGAGCTCCGGCCAGGGCTATTACTGCCACTGCACCAACGACGATACCGGCGATGGCGCCAGGTGGGAATGGCTTATGGGATGAAGTCACGTTGGAGTCTGAGGCCGATGTGGCAGTTGCTGAGCTTCCTGTTGTGGCTTTTGAGGTTTCTGCTGGGAAATATTCATTGGGAGAGAATACCAGGGTTGCGTTCTGAGCATATGCCAATTGAGTATCGAAAGTTTGCGTGTCGTTGGGATTGATCACCCCAACCATTCCCTCCTGACAAGCTCCCGGAGACGAGCAATAGAAAAATATAGGTTCCGTGTCGTTGATGACTACACTGTATGTAGGTGGCTAAATACATTCCGTCAGCTTCATTTAATTGGCTTGAAAGATACCATGAATGTCGAACATTATTTGAGACAATTGCAATAGGTTCAAAACCACTCCAAAATCCGACCTTCCCTGCTCCAGTATCTTCGTAGGGTATGCATGGTACTGCATGATAAGTAAATCAGTAAGTCTCCTTCAGAAGAAGATTTTGGAGGAGATTTGAGGTGTTAAAGCTGTATCAAAAAGCAGAAATGAACCGCAAGATGAAACATGAAACCCCTCTTAGGATCGAGGAACAGAATTAGGCATAATGAACAATGAAATCAGTAAGCCAATTCTTACGTTTGTACTCCGCTCTAGCTACAGAATGGTTCTGGGGATAAAAGCGAAATTCTGTGATGACCAATTAGTTATACATTGAATTGCTTGATATTTTGGCATAATTCTTTACCGATGATATCTCCAACATCCGCGGTCAATGAAACGGGAGAATAATTGATGCCATCCTAAAATTCATAAGCATCTCAATTGTAGAACAATTGCGATCGTAGTATAAACTTACTGCACCAACCGAAACAGTATGCGTCGCAGCCGCCGAACTAGATGTGCTTGTCGATGAACTTCTGCTCGAATCAGACCCCAAGGCCGATGAATCGGAGCTTGACTTTGACGCTGAAGCCGCTGTTGTAAGACTACTTTCCGCCCGGACCGAAGCAAGGATTGAGAGCCCTAACAGACCGAACTGCCCTAGCAGCATCATATTGAACGTCGAGTCGTCGATGAATTAATGCGATATGCACAGAACGAATTTTGTCACGCTATTAGAAGAACAAAACAAAAAAAGAACAATGTAAGAAAGGTGCCAGTACAGGAATCAGGCGGAGATATTAATCGCATGCGGGGTGGTGGTCCATATCAAGAAGATCTGACCGAGAGCCAGCCCCCATAAAAAGATACTTGGGACTGACTTGTACTTTCGTACAAGGCAAATGGCGTGCGGCTGAGTAATAAAACGGTCTGTCAAATCTTGCAATCCTTCACGTAGTTTAACTTGACATGATAGTAAGGTGTTTGTTGTATCAGCCGGTGGCTATAGGAGGTGTTAGGAAAGTATCCATGCTTATCTTGAAGCCATAGCTCTGTAAAAGCAAGTTTTGAAGCATGCGGGAGTCCTCAAGCAGTGTTGTAGAGTACAACAGCACACAGCAGGTGATCATCCCGGCTGGAAGCATCCATTGAGAAGAGGATGCCCATAAAAAGATGACCAGATCAACCTTGGTAAACAGTACCTAAAGGTAGCGTGGTAGCGTGGGTGTAGTTTATCCAATGCAAGTTCATATATTTAGTAAAACTAATCCTATCTGGGAAAGATCAAGAAAAAGCAACATCGGAGGCAGTCTCCATTTGTAGGATTCTACAGGGAAAGATTGGGGGCCGCGAACGTTGATTGAGCAGAATTCCGGCCGTAAGGCTTATGACGACCTATGCTTGTCGGTAACCGAGCCAATGAAAGATGCCAATTTGCCGAACTTCCAGAGCCTTACGCTTTGACTGGATAAACCCCTGAGGTGCACCCTGCCTGCTTACATCTCGTATTGTCTGATTGTCTTAATCTGGGGACTCGCGTGGAATTCGTGTGAGAATTGCTGTGGAAAGGTGGTGGTATGACTTAGAGTAATTTTGATCAATAGAGTTAATGGAAATAATATATATTTAAACAATGACAAGAACATGGTCTTGTATGAGGGTATATGGCAAATCTATAGATCGATCATTGAACCTTCTTCGCCTTCGTTTTCGTCTTCTCCGATTTCGAGGAATCCAGAAAGCCACTTTCGACCGCCAGAGACCATAAACACCATAGATAACAAATACCAAATCCAGCGACACCAATTCCAACATTTAAGATTACCCAGAGATCCGGATACATGTGTGGTGGCTTGTAGAACACTTCTCCTAAATGCCAACCGAGCATCGCCTCATAGAAGACCGTATGAATTAACGTTGTTCCGAATCCTACCCAATTACCGTCGTTAAATTGCGCATACACTTCAAAAGAAAAAGGCGGAAGTCCAAGAAGGTACAGCCACAACAGAACCAGGACAAAGTAGGGAATTCGTAACTCTTCTCTTTGCAACAATGGAAACATGGTAAAGACACCAAGCACATTCGCAAATCCTATCCAGGATCGAATATTTTTGCTAAGCCCTCCTCGACCAGCAAGCATCACAGTCATCGGCATCAGTGGCAGCAAAACGCTTTTCTCGTGAACCTGAAAACTGAAGAGAAAGAATCCCCATGCTGATGTTGCTAAAGCCAAAGGTAATAGATCTCTCCGTGGCTTGAAAAATATGATAAAGCATGGAGGAGTAATTGAGGCTAAGGTGAAAAGTAGCGATGCTTTCTGAAGGTCCTTATCGAAGTTCCGAAGCTTGACAACGACATTCAGTGCGCACCAAAAGTTGGCTACCTTATCCTCAAAAAGACCTCGTGCAAAAGGGAACACACGATATATGACCTGTGCGCCTTGCTGTAGGAGAGGATAATACCAGGCGCGATAATCGAGTTTATATGAAATATGAGAAAGAATTGGTAATGGCGCGGCGAAACCATCAAGCTCTGGTCGAGCACTGATACCTTGAGATTTCTCGTAGATAGCACCCAAGAACAGAGGCAGGAATAAAGTCGCGAATGATGCCAAAGTTACAATCGCGATCCCTAAAAACCTAGGAATATTGACAGGAAAGATGCAGACACCTAATAGGTATGCGAACATCGCAGGCGCATAGTATAAGGCCATCTGTTTAAATCCTAATGCCATGACAAAAAATACACAGCTCCACATGTATCTGCCAGCGAGTACACTAGACATGCTAGCCAGAACCAACCCAAGCATTACAGTATTGTATTGAAAATGTGCATGGTCAATAAGGATTGATCCGGGCTGCATGAGTATCGCCGTTAATGCGATTGATGCAGTCCACATATTGACAGCTTGGAGCTTGCTTAATCGTCGAACGAAGATGACCGCCGCTGGTACAAACACTAAGTATTCGGAGACAATAACCGTAGCTCTCATGAATACCTTCATGGTTGGGTCATCGAGTCCTCGCGACGTGTGTAGAGCGAACCACGACGGGTTTATAAGTCCCCCGATCTTTCCTAAAACCCAACTGTGATATGCAGTCAAGGGCGGATAATCCAATCCCCACCATTCGAGGTCGTGGAAATACCATTGTGAAACGGGAAGCTGAGTTGTAATCTCCATCCAGTGTCTCTGAGCTTCGTAGTCGCCATGCATCGGAGGGCTTTGATATCCTGTAGTGAAAGGTTAGTAAGAAGGTAGATGACCTTTGGTATAAGAATTGTGATCATACCAGAATATCCCCATAGTCCAGCGGCCCATCTGAACAACCCCACTGCCATTAATATCAGAGGAAGTACCACCCATTGTGATGTCGAACTGCGTGCAGACCAAAGTAAAGAGGCCAATGGATACGTGGGTTGATTTCCGCTTGTACGCCTGGTCGTTGACGTTGTCTCGTCCAACATGGCTTTTTTGGATTGTTGTCCCCGCGATCGAGGTTTGTGCGGTGAGGGAGAATACCCAGCCATTGTCACCGAGGAATTGAAGTCAAGTAATACACAGTTAGCATTGCTTGAATTACGATACTACAATTGGATTTCGATTGTGTTGTGGGCAACTTCTTGCTCAAATTGTGGGGTGTCGCGATATTTTTAGCTTGCGCTTGATAGTGACACGCTTCAACTGTTTGGATAGGATTATCCAAACCTCAACCAACTTCCATCCATTTAAAATTATTTATTTATGCGCCAAATTTCTTGACAATCCTTTCACAATAGTCAGATCAGACGATAGATATTACGAAGCTTCATTTAACAGTGGCTCAGAGATACTGGTACACCAAATACGTACAGAAAACATTCAACCAGAAGCGCTCTGTCTCACACCACTACCTATATAGAGGAACATGGGCTATGTATTACATTTATCTTAAGTGGTCTGAATCCGTTGATCTTGGAGCTCAGATTGTTTTGCGAGTTACCGCTCAGAGTTCTGGATTGACGACGTTCGCAAGGGTGTACTCATAACTTTCTTTCGAGTGAAAGGGACATTTGGTATGCGGCCATTGCTACCGAAAGCCAATTTTGTCCTCGATCCAAATACTGCATAGGTTGTACAGTACCTCTAGTTGTTTCACTGTCTCTAAATACTTTGGGGGTTGTTTCCGAATGTCTAGGTATAGGATGTACTATGATAGCCAAAAGCTCACTTCACTAGATCTATCATTTTTATCATAATCTTATTTGCCCTGCCTTAAGAAACTCGCAGCAAACCAAACCAAATAACGGGCATGAGCCGGTGCACACAGTTTTTGGTCATGGCATTTATCAGTTAGTCAGTAATGGTATTCCTCTAATACTTTACGATTGGCTGGCATGGGAAGAGAAATGTCTATGATAAGATAACTACAACAAGAGGTACAATTTGTACCATACTAAACCTGAGCTTGGCTCTAGCGATTTCATTCTAATCAAGCGCTAAAGCGCCGAAACTCCCAATATCCTACAGGCAGTATCAACATATTGTTCAGTGATCCAATCCGGTAACCTTCTGCGCTTCAAACCCTCTAAACATAATAGTGTCAATACCCTGAAGCTGATATTCAACTCTTGCGCGGTCACTTGTTGTAAAGGCCCATGTCCCTATCCATAAACCTTATCACATTCGTCCTTCCAAGAGTGTGGAATATATATGATATTTCGACACGATTCGAGGTTTTCAAGGACTGAGATTGATAAGTCGATCATCTGATATCTCTTTTCTCATGTAAAATGATAATCACCACTAGTATCATCTAACATGCAGTCCAAGGATATGATGATCTCTCGTCCTTGGTATTGCCTGACACCCTGGGGTCTTGTGCGATTCTAATATTCCAGTCAGCAATCAATCTTTCAGCATTGGCAGTCAAACCTACCATTAAAGCTCTTCTCCGTCTCTATTTCCATCTTCAGAAAGTTGGAACCCTTGGGCTCAACCGTGAGAAGTAATGGTTCCCTAGCTGTATGTTTCGCATATACTTGACGACAGCATGCTCCGATAAAAGCTAATATCAAGACCAGTAAACCCATGCTGAGGTTCACGAGGACCGTCGGTTCAAGGTTTGTCTTTGATGCTAATAACATTGTGGCTAGACACATATTGGAGGTTGGAAATCGAAGAGTGATGTAGATAAATATAACTCAAAGAGTAATAATGGTATTTAATGGCCAAGAATGATACGTGATGCGTAAGCTTTCCTTGATAAATGATGAGAGTATTTCAAAGAAGAGCATAAGAGTAGGATACTAAATATTGGACTTGAGTTAGTCTGTCGAGACTTCCCCATTGTTCACGACGTCTATGTATATATTTCCGAAGCGCTTCCAAAGACACCCGAGAGCATTGCCGCTAATCCCTTGGATCCTTCCCAAATCCTATAAAGTCCAGGCCAACTTGAGATGTGAGAGTTTTCGGCAAAGGAAGGCACAAGGCGACACTTGGCGCGAATATATTTAATTGAATAACTTTATTCAATTGACACAAGGAAACTCTGAGTCTTACGAGACGAAGATGAGTTTCACGGATGCGGCGAACTTATCACATGCATACTGTCATATCATTGGACGAGAACATTGATTCACGTGCTCGACTTATCATCTTCATCTCGTATTTTTGTCATGCAAATCTGGAAAAGATGCAAAAAATACAAATATAAAAATGTCGTGAAAGTACCCAATTATTCATCGCGATTGTTTCGTACTGAAAACCCACCAGTCACGTGTCGAGCCAAGCTACTTCGAGTAGGGCAAGTCTGTTCTTGAAGCGCAGTAAGATTACGCCAATTCTATCAACCAAATTACATTACATGGAGCTTTCTAGTGCTATGGATAGAATACATATTCGAGATGCTACATTTGCTTTTCTTCCGCATCTAACCTTAATGGCAGGCGTCGTTTGTACCTGTTCTTTGGTCTACCACATTCTGTGAAAATATCTACAATTTTCTTGACACCTATCAATTGTCACGAAGCTACATGTCTTTTATATCACGGCAAATGCCGTGGGCTTCTTAGTGAAGGCAATTGTTCTCATTCACAGCATTGAAGTCACGTGGAATCTTGGAAATACTTGAGTGAACCGAAGTCGATTCACAACTCAACACCTCTTAGGCCATACTTTGAAAAGAATATCTCTGGCATGGTGTGTGCTGGGTGTGGCTTGCATACACTGGCTTTAGGCATCTATTGTTATGAATCATGTGACATTGATTTTCTGTGGCCGGTAGGAAAAGCTCGCAAATGAAAGCCATGAATCCTTTACCTTTTCACGGTATACAAAACGTTCACGGTTTACAGAATATTTTCTCGCACGCTCTAAAATCACATGTTTAATCTGGAGAACATAAGGGTCAAGAGAACAAAAGGTCGTCTGTATTTTCGCGTTCTTGAAAAGGCTACACTACAATCTTAATTGGCCTCCAGGTTTCCCGAACATAATGGCACTTTCCTTGCTCCCTTTTGACATCCGTCACTAATAACATAAAGCACATTTATCACATTTGCACATCATATAGGTTAAACTCATTTTTTGGTATTTAATTGCGTATCATTCTTGGGGATTTCTAATCTAAGAAACACTAAACAGCTGTGCATAAATCAATCATCCAGGGGACCTCGCAGGAACACCTCAAACAAATGGAAAATGAACAATTTCCTCTTCCTCTTCATCAATTCTTCTTGAGTGATCCCCAGATTGACCGACCGAATTCCTTGGCCTTTTCCCGTTTGCTTTGTCTTCTCTTTGGTAGCTCAGACTGCGGTGATGGTGAAAGGTCAAGTGTGGTGCTTTGCATCATTTCAATGAGATTTTGCCCTTCTCTGTTCAGACGTTGCATCTCCAAGAGGTCGGAGTCGATTCGATCGTCTAGAAGAACTGGGTCGTCGAATGATCGTCTGAGGTCAACGTCACTTTGACTTGATTGTTCAACAATTGACTGCGTGGGCTCGTATGTTTCAACAACTGGTCGCGTGGGCTGGTATGTTTCCGGCTTGGACATGATCAGCAATGTCTCTTCATCTTCCCACTGGTCATCGGAAGTCTCAAAGCTTTTCAGCGATTCCCGAGAATCATCTTTTTGGGTGAAACTGGGTGATCTCATGAGTTCTGTTCCATGAAAGCTGAATTTGGATTTGTCGTCGGAGTCGGATTCAGGGTCGCAACTGGGACAAACATCTTCTGACTCGACCAACACGAATCCATACTCGTCGATTTTGATGTTTTCTCCTTCTCCTGGTGCAATCGCGTCGGCGAATCTGTGATGCCCGCAACGAAAATTAATGTATGTTCCAGCCACGGACTGTGTGATGCCTGCAATATTGAAGGTCGATACTGGAACCAAAGCCCAGTTTTCTCTCGACTCAGCTCCCGTTGCAATGCCAAAAAGAGGTTTGTCTGTCTCAATGTTTCTGCTAGCCTTAGAACGTTTGTCAACTTTTGCAATGCCCTTGTGTTTCACAGGTGTATTGAGCAAAGAATCTTGTAGAGGGGCGATGTCGATTGGAATGATGACAGGATGCTTACGCTGACATTCAGGGCATTCATCGATCTCGTCAATCCAAATCGTGTTGGGGCCGACATCGTATGTCACTTCTTCTCCTTGTTCCTTCGACTTTCTTCGGATGATGTTGGATAAATGCTGGTGTTTGCAACTGAAATTTGTCACGATGCCGATGATGTGAGTGGGCATGATTGCGGTTATGCTGGGGTTTGTTTCGTGAATATGGATTATTCTGTGGTCTAGGTATCTTAGTAGAGAATATTCCGCTATTGGTGCTTGGTAGGAGGAAGGGTTTTTTTTTGCAAAGGATATGGAACTTTATACATAGGATTGAAGTCATTGTTTTGAGACTGTTCTGGCATTTCTTTTATGTTGCGGCTATTGTTCTTCCAGCTCAGCTCATGATCTCCCATGGAGCTGTTGAGGCGAAAGAGCATTCAGAAAACCACAGTAGTGCTGCTGTCTTGTACAGAACGATTGGAAGAACCTCGAGATATCCAACTTTGAGTCAATATAATTGGGTCCCTGTTGTCTGTTCACACAAAAATAGTCTCAGGACAAGTCTGCTGGGCTTTTTGTGTCGGCATGCCGTTTTCTTCTGATCACGGTCACGTGATTTAATGAAGCCTTCCGAGTTCCTGATAGACTCTCAATCATCGTTTTATGTACGGTAACACAGTGATGGTAGTCACTGCGGCGAGGATAGTATGTTACTTTGTAACGCTAACTTGGAAAGTACAGAGTACAGAGGGGGTAGGCGTTGCAGTACTCATACTCCCAAATTACTTTTTTCGCTCACCTACGGAGTCTTGCCTTAGTGTCAGTCACCGCATTATATGTAAGAGTATAAGATCAAAGTGAGAATTGAAAAGATGGGGCTATAATATACTTGAAGATCACGATTAGACATTTTCATGCGAAACCATACTTTGTGGAATGCAGCTTTCAATTAGCTATCGACTGCTCATTTGGACTTTTATCACATAGAAGTTATTCACAGGTATTAGAAGTGTTTGGGCGCATCAATCATATTTATTTGCATGTAAATGTTGGTTCAAGATTCGATTTACCATTTATTTTAGTATTGTTCCTCGAAGGATTCAATCTTTTGGTACGGATTCAGCAGTACTCAAAGAAGACTCAAATCACAGAAAGTTCAACAGCTCGCCGCTTCTCTCACCCCATCAGCTTGCTTGAAGTTCACTCTGTCTTCGACTTCTTCTCGATTTCACGCACAATTCTACCTACTTTACTTGGTTGTCTGGCAACTTTAGGTGTGGATTCTGATTCTGGAAGTGACCAGTCAGGTTCAGGATGACTCGGTGACACGGTGCTCCCCAACGAATGAGTGATCGGAATTGTTTCACGGTCGAGATCCTCTTCTTTCACTTCACTCGGGTGCTTGCGTGTGAAATCATGCGGTCCGTACCAGGAGAAGTCAGCAAACTTATTGGCAAATGGGTTTGCATCGTCGTTGTCAGGTTCTTCGGACTCCGGCGCAGGAGTGAACTGGCGCGGATTGATCGAACGATGAGTGATCGGGCGAATGATTGGATGAGATCTGAGCGGATGCGGGTGGTCTTCTAGAGGTTCTCCCTCGTCTGCCCCTCGGAATGACTTGTGGGAATTCGTTGAGTTGCTTCGTCTGAGAGATGGCATGTGTGGAGTTGAATTCTTCCGACAGGCTGAACAAAACAGTGCTGAATCTGCTCTCACAGGTCCAGTTGATTTTTTGCTGTTTATTCGCCGGATCATGCCACCCAATCCCGTTCCTCGCTCAGTGCCGATGCGGGTTGATGAACGTTCTTCGTGTCCGCAAGCGAATGTTGTGAAGAGAATTGTTGACATGGTTTCAATCTTGTTGTTTGGTGTGATTGTTTAGAATGTCAAGGTCGGATCAATTCTACAAGAGAATTAGTTACATTTAGATGTAGTGCTTCACTTTATACAGATGTGCGTAATCTTGTTCAGACACTGTTTTTAGATCCTTTTATTCCAGGTTGATTTTATCCTCTCGGGACTAGTGAGTTATTCCAGAAGTTGCTGTATCGGTAATTGTTTGCCTTGAAGATACTCGTGTTAAAATAAGGGTGCTACATCCAGGTGGTAGTTCACCCATTGTCACGTGATCATTCTCGAAATGTCTAGGTCATTCACGCGGCATATGGTTGAACACTCAATTCGTTCATTTAAACTTTAGTAGTGCAACTTCACAAAGGCAATGGAAAGACTGAGGCTTTCATAAAGCTATACAAAATATTAATCGCTTGATATAATCATGTCGCAATTGCACTGATTGGACAAAATAGAGTCATATCGATTATTAACCACATAATGGAAATCCAGAAGGAACTAGTGTCTTCTCAATCATCGAGGATGAGATTTATTGAGGGTCCGAGTCTATTTTTACATTGTACCCAAGGACAATGTTCCCGGCTATTCACATTTTGCATAATCTCGGTAGACTCAGGAGGTGTATCACGTGATAAATTCACCTTTCCCGACCTTCTTGAGGGGCGTGTCAACTCGCACGGATGCGAATTCAGCTTTTGGTTACTCGGTCACTGCAACGCATTCACTTTAGAGTTTCGTCGCATAGTAGCGCTTGTAATTTTCTTTTTCAAATTGGAGATTAGTTAATTCTCCAGGTAACTAAAGTTGCGAGACGGAATGCCTCACTTCTGGCTTCACTGGACTCTTAAGGGTTGTGTCATTTGTCATTATACATTCATCAATTTCATAACTCTTTGAACACCTAAAATGATCAGGTGGAGACTTGGCGTTCTGGCTAAGATCAGTCCTATATTCTAGACTCAAAAGTATCAATTGGCCTGGACATGAATCCTCCAGCCTGGTCCTTAGTGACTCGAGTACTAGATATTCGGCATTCTCATGTGAAGTTTGGAGTGCCAATGAAGGCGATAAGATAGATGATACATCGCCACTACTACTTTCGATATTGTAGTGCTCGATAATATACCCTGCAATCAGGTATTGGACGAATTTATAGAGATTTACTGCGAGATGCCTTGGCAAGATACACACACTCTTTTCACGGTGCAAAATACATATTCATTGAATTTTCCGTCACATTTGCATAAATTCTCGAATACTACTAAGTCAGGTTTGGTTTGGTTTAAGTTTTTGATTATATTACAATATTGTTGTATTGTAGGTGTGTTGTTCGTTTTCGTCGTGCAATAGATTCCTTTCTACAGTCCAAAATCCATGAATGCGTAAACTTCATGAGTCCGTTGGCCGTCCGTCCATCGCTATGCATCCGTAAAATTCATGACTCTATTAGTCATATCAATAGCCATCCCAATTCCCAAACGCCGAAAGAAAAATGAAAAGTGTCATTGTGTGTTCACTCTCTTCTTCTTCTTCCGTAATCCACTTCTAAGGATTAAACAGATTACTCTAAAAGAACTGAACAAATCGACAGAAGAGTATAAGGATTTTTAGGACTCAGGAGAGGAGGGAAGAGGAGGAGAAGGGGAGTTTGTATACGCTGTTGAGAAGCGAGGGAAGGAGATGAGTCCAGAAGGTTGCGAATGATCAGCCATATGGATGGGAGTGTGAACTCTGATGGGAGAAAGTTGAGGTGGCCGAATGTTCCGCTCTCGCTCAATTTGTCTCTTGATGGCTTCTTGCGTCTTTTTCCCAGTCCATTGCTCCACTCGAATGTGGAGTGGAGTGAGAGAGTCCGCGCGTGGTCGCTCGGAAGTAAATTCGGGTGCTGTGTTGCTCCTCGTTTGAGGTGGCCAATGGTTACGCGTCCGTTCGATTTGCCTCTTGATGGCTTCTTGCGGTCTTTTCCCAGTCCATTGCTCCACTCGGATGCGGAATGGATTGGGAGAGTCCGCGCGTGGTCGCTCAGAAGTGATTTCAAATGTTGTGTCGCTCCTCGGACGTCTGCGTTCGGAGTGAAGGGATGGAGTTATTTTCGGGCTTTCTTGCATCCTATTTCGAAGGCTGTCCCATAGTTTGGTCAACTCTTGGTAGTCTGTCAAAGAGACATCTGAGGCATCTGAGGCATCTGAGGAATCTGAGGCATCAGAGTCATCGGAATCCACGTCTTGAAACATGTAATCAAATGTTGGAGGGGTTTGAAGGGGCATTGGGGCCTGAGGTGCTTGTTCTTGAGGAGGTTGAGGTCGAAGAGGTTGAGGTCGAGGAGGTCGAGGAGGTCGAGCTCGAGGAGCTTGAGCTCGGGGAGGTGTAGGGGCAAGTATACGTTCTTTTGCCTGACAAGCAGGACAAAGATCCATGCACGGTCTCCTTACGATACCTGAACCGAGACTCAAGGCCCTCTTGAACAAATTCAAGAAAGGTGGCTTTTTGGATGAACCTTCTGGCTTTCTTCTCTCCAAGTATGCGTTCGTATCTGGAAGTTCATGTGAGCATCTGTACACAATCATCAGCCTTGGTTCTGACATGTTGGGTTGTTGTCGATTTGAAAGGTTAGTTTCTCGTGGTTGGTTGGAAAAATTTGAATATGTTGAGTTTTCAAAAATTTTCAGGTGTCAGGATTGGTAACGAACAGTTTTTACATTAGGAATTCTTGATCTCGTATACTTACTGAAAGAACTTGTTCTGAACTTGTCCTATCTTCTTACTGTTACGTAGCTATTCTGAGAGGCTTCTGAGTTGTCCCAATATTGAACGTATGGCCCAATATGCCAGTTTCTCTAAAATGGGTGGAGTTGAGATCTGTGTGTGACTAGTCTTAGTTCTTGCTCTGTTCTCGTTCCACTTATATTCCATCATTGTTATAATGCTGTTTCAGAGCTGCTTCGATACTCTTCTGAATCTAGGCTTTGATAATGGATGTAACACCATTCTACGAGCATCCTGACCACTCAACATTAGGGGCTTCCATTCCATCTCCCAGAGCTACAAGCTACATTTAATTTAATCTACTCTCTTTCTGACCCGATTTCTCTAATTCTTTGAATCTTGCTGTTGCCAATTCCATGAGATTACAGTTTCTAATCGATTTGAATACTCGGCCTACACTATCATTTACTATTTACCATTGTTCTGGTCTGTTCTACTCACTTCCACTTAGTAAGCTTCATCAACATATCACAATACACAGCATATCCCATTAAAATGCACAGATCAGATTAAACAGGGGTAGATAGCCCATTGATTGCGATATACAAAAATTAATTCATACCTTCTGAGAAACAGCTCACTCACCACCCACTCAATCCACAAACCCTTCAAATCACACAAAAATTCCATTTCATAGACAGACCCATCTCATTTCATTTCCCTCTTTCTTCGAGACTTAAATAGAGTGGTAGAAACTGAGTGTATAATGTATTTTGAATCAGGTCACATGGTTTTAACTAAACAAAGACGTGATGGATAGATTGGTAGAATCAACACATACCAGTCAGTGGCCAGTCTTTCGAAACGAAAAAGTATTTTTTCAGGTAAGAAAAGAGCCGAAAGTGGGCGACAGATGTGAAATTTTGGTGGTAATAAAGTACATTTATCACTGAAAATGGGGTTCAGGGGATGGTTGTCCTATTGTGATTTGGGGATTCCATGAAAATAGGGTTATTTATTGGTGGTCATATTTTAAAATTGCGAGGAATTAAATTAAATATGTGAAGACATAATGGAGTCTCTCTACTTCATCTAGATACTTTCGATCTACATACACATGATGAATATGTAGGTGTTGGTTAGCGGTAGAGACTTAATGTTTCGGAAAGGGAATGTTCAAATTACTACTACCTCAACACATCAATCGAATCACAGTTATTTCGAAATCATCACATTTGCACAGTCAGTCTATAAGTCAACTTAGTTTGAGTTTGATTTTAATTTAATTTTTTTATTTCTTTGATTAATATCATCGGCCGTAATATCATATATATATCGAAGTCGAAGTCGTAGTCATAGTCACTGTCATAAAGAACGCCAGCCACCCCTTAAAAAGAATCGCTACCTCCCTATGCAAATGCAACCGTTAGTCCGGATAAAATAAAGTATAAACAAAGCCGATGATCCCAAAAGAAAAGAGGAAGTGTTACCTCCTCCCTTCCATCAGTTCCTCCGCCCGCTTCCTTATTCTTTCCGCCTTCTCGATCTTCTGCCGTCTCGCAGCCTCCCTCTTAACCGCCATCTCAGCGTCAGCCCTCGAATCCTCCTCTGGATCTCCGGATGCAGACGGTTCAAGCCTTCTTACTGGTCTGCGGGACGTGGGCATTGGTTCTGGCTCTTGTGCCGTCCGCGATCTGTCGAACAACTCCTTGAGGCTTTTCGGCCGCGGTTGGTTCGATGGCTGAATGTGCTCCGGAGAGTCGTTAGGGTTGATCCCCATCGCCTCGAGCTGCTTTTGGACGTCCATCGTACGCCAGTCAAGATGGAGCGACTCGATCTTTTTCAAACGTCGCTGTCGCTCAGCAGCCGTCTCGTTCGCAAGACCCCTCCTAACCCGTTCTTCCATATCCTTTACATTTTCGTAATTCGCGAGGATCGCGTCCATGTTGGAATCCCTGTAGGGATTCCGCGGCGGAACGTATGATGGGTTTTCAAAGTCTGGGAATGGATCGGCTGGTTGAGCCACCGTGGCGGGCGCAGCCACGGTGTTGCTTCGTCTTGGTCTTGTCTCGTGTTGACGAGCGGGGGAGATTTGTCGACGCGGTTGGGTGGCTGGTCTTGAACCATGTGCTGCCTGTCGTCGTTGGCTTTCATCCTCAAGTCTTTGACAGTACGGACACAACTCCATGGAGGGTGTCCGGATCGTTTCTATCGTGGAAAGAGCTCGCTTGATCCGTTTGAAAACCGAGGGCTTTCGGGGCGCCTCGTACTTGGGGTCGGGGAACTCGTGACTGCATGCGTAGACAATCTTTCTTCTTTGCTCGGGCATTTTGTCCGATTTCTTCACGTTTCTTAGTTTGGTTGAAGTTGTTGGGATGAAGGGTTCCGTATTCAAATATGTACTTTTCAATATGGTTAACTGAAAAGTTTGTATTTGAGTCGAAAGTCGAAACTGTGAATGAAGAAGAAGGAAGAAGACCCCATCCAGGAGGCTCCGGGCCCTTTTATAGTCCCCTTCTACGGGATTGTTCTGGGATTCAATGTCATTGTTCAGGATGTCAATTTGCTCAAGATTGCAAGAGTTTGCGCTCTGTGAAACTCTGGTCAACATTGGTAGTCAAGCCGTAACATACCACAAGCTCTAGTAGTATAGCTAGCCCAGGAACATCGAACTGATTCCAGACCAGAATTTATTCGTCGATAATACTCTGTGTCGGTAGTTCGTGACCACACTAGTCGCAATACCATGTTGATGTCGAGTTGGTTCCAAGATGTACCGGATTTGTATACTCGTGACCAATGAGCTTGCAAAGACAAATCTCCAAGCAACCCCCAACTTCCATCCATCCACAACATCAGCCTAGGCCCTAAGGAATCCAACATCCCTAATCCATCCATCCACAGGCGAGGAGAGAGAGAACTCCAGCGCCCAAGAGAAGAAGAAGAAAAATTATACATAGAGAAAACATGCCTCGCCATATACGAACATTCGTTCAAAGGAAATGGATAATATTATTTAGTGCTTCAAACAAGAGAGAGAGCTGCTATGAAAAAAAGAAAGAAAGAAAGACCTAGAAGAATTCTGCGTACATGGGTTTTCTGTTGAACAGTATTCTTGAACACGTTCTAGAACAGAGTGGAAAATGCGATCCATGAATGTGAATGATGATACTGGATTCTTTGTGTTGTGGTATGTACAGTATGTTCAAAAATAGTTCTCCTTCTGTTCTAGAATATATTGGTAAACAAGGGTCATTTAGATGAATTCCGATTGGTGGGTAAGTGAGTAGGTATTTCATTGCATTTAGTGAAACTCCATAGAAGAAACCATCTATTTCGGAACAATCAATAAGAACATGGTAGGAACTCCTTACCAATTCCATTCTTTATTGCGTTGCATTTCCTGAACAAAGAACTCTGTCCTAGACAAAAAGAACATGACAATGAAATTTTGTTCTTTGTGAAATTGGTCAAGGGTGAAACAATAAGCAGATACAACTACATAATTCGGACAATGCCTATTGTAGATCCATCAAGAAACATTCTCTCACACTCCTCACCAATCCCACCGATCTTTACTCACTCTTTATATTTGAAACCGAACGAAATCAACAAGCAAACACCATCCGCACACAAAGACACTCATCAACCATCGATATGTCTTCAAGAACATCATTCAAACCAGTCGAGGTGCAGGTAATTTACGGAGGATGTGAACACGTATTGAGAAAAACCCAGGTAATCCCCATTCAAGTGCCCACCAGCCAAACCCCCAAAAGCCAAAAGCGCAATTCCGCTTCCTCCAACTCCTCGAAATCATCTCGTCGCAACAGCTGGAAATCTTTCCTTTGCAACGGCGCAGAACAAGCTGAACAGGAATCTGACCATGAAGCAGATCTCGAATTTCAATGCCAAGGACTTCATTTGGTTGATAACATTCCCGGCTTATGTCCAGATTGCAAGTCCCGACAGGACCGTATGATTGCCGAGCAACAAGCACGAGACGCAGAATTCATTCGCAAACAAGTCGCCCAGGAACAAGACGAGGAACGTGCACGACAACGACGTGCATACAGACACATAGAGGATAGACGCACCAAGTTCAGATGTGATAAGTGTATCCGAGAGGATTGCAATCCCGTCGACAGATCCGCAAACGAAGGATTCTGCTGTGAATTTGGACGATCATTCTGGAACGCCAAGCAGGAAGCTGAACGCATTTCAGTCCCGGCTCGACAACATCGCACACCTCACACGAGTGCCCCAACCAGTTCTCAAGTCCCCACCGCGGCATTCAAGCGCATGACAGTCGGCACAACACAAGCACGACAAGCCGCGACCCAGGCCGCGAAATCCTACGGATGGCATTCTCAGCCTGACGAATTGAACAGAATCCAACCAGAACTTGTATCACAATTCGTCTCCATGCCAGGAAATCTGCCAGCATCGTTGCCCGGACACCCTATCCCAAGATACGAGGATGCCAACATCGACGTCAATCGATGGAACGAGCAAGTACGCACCAACCACGGTACGTATCCCAAAGCCGCTGCACCAGCACCAGACAGACCACTTCCACCGCTTCCTTCATCAAGAAAGCAGCGACCTGAGCCTTTGAGATTGCAACAATCGACTGGACGAGGTGAATTTCGCAAGGAAGCCCCACCCTCGAAGAGAGATTCACAAGTGTCGGCGATGTCAAGCGCGAGAGATATGGGCAATGCATCGCCAGTGTCACCAACCAACAGTCGTTGGCCATCGAACCCTCCAAGACCAAGAAAGAGGGAGGGAGAACATGCGTTGAAAACCCAAATATCGAACCTTGAACTAGAGATTGATGAGGCGTTGGAGAGCTGGCAACAACCACAGGAGAGAACCAGGAGAAACAGAATATGAATTTCCTTTGTTCCTTATATTATAGGCGTTAATGCAGAAATTCCGATTCAGCGAAAACTTAATAGAACACGCGTTCAACAAAAACCAGACAAGAAATTGATGAAGCGTTAGAGAGAGAACCAGGAGAAGCAGAAGATGAGTTTCAGTTTCCTTTGTTCCTTGCTTTGTAGGCGTTAATGGTGGAGATATTCCGATTCAGCGCAAACTTAATAATATAATTTTTTCAATAACAGATTTTGATACAGCACAAAAGACAGGTGAAGCTCCATGAAATTATAATGTATAACATGTGAAATGTGATAATATTAGCCTGGGAGTCTTAACGGTACCACTCAATATCGAGACCCTACCCAGTATCCTTACCCAGTATGTAAAATAGAACACCTTCTGGAATAATATTGAGACAACATAGGGGTATTAGTTGATCATAATGTGGAACCCAGTAGCATATTCGTCGAGCTGCAGCGCACCGTTGGGATTAAATGGCGTTCAAGAAAGGAGCTGCATGGCTTCCTACCTTAGTGCCAGATTTCGCGCCAGGTAAAGAAATCAGCTTATCTTGCTCTCGTGTGTCATGACGTCCGTAGAGTAGATCTGAATACATTGATTATGGAGATGAAACATGACGAAGGTAGAGGGACTAAACATGGTATTCTCTGCATATCAAAACTCGCTTGCGAATGTACAATTGAACCAAGAAAGTAGGAAACTCCTCGCACCTCAAATTAATTCCACCAGATTGGTTTATCCTTTCCGACCAACTTCACTTCATGCCGAACATACTCTGACCTTCAGTACCAAAGTAAGACAAGGTCCAGCCGCCTTCCAATAGACTGCCACCTCCGCTGTCGCACGTCACTTCCCCTCAACCATTTCCTCTTCTCTGTTGTGCTTCCTTTGTGTTTCTTGTCTGTGACACCTTAACGACTTTTTTTAGACTTCAGTTGGCTTTACCGTTCTTAGCGGCACCGTTGGATTTATCGCCCGTGAATTTCGCAATCTCTTTCTCAACTGCAACGTCGATCCGTTTCTGTAATTCTGGCCTATACCCAAAAATAAATAGCACCTCCATAAACACAAAGAACGGAGCCAGGACTATCGCTTGTACGAGGCTGTCGAGTAACGCGGGAGCACGCTTTTCGAAAGCACCATGTCCGACGAACTGCAAAATCCATGAAACAACGAATATGGCACCAGCGATTTGGTTCGCTTGGGTGGCATTTGAGGATGTAGTAAGTAGATGATTCGAGAATGCGGTCCATCCGATGATGAATGGGAGAATAATACTGCCTGCGACAGGTTCGAGGAGGATATAAAAACCGCTATAGAAGATAGATCCGATCGTGCTGACGTTTAGAGGTAAATTTGGAACAGTAAGCCATGATGGCAGAGGTATTAATGTAGGACTGTTGGAGCACTATTGGTACATTGTCAGCATGCCTACCATTTCCCGATCATGAAATCGTGGAGAGTTCGGAACCATACGAGGAAAAAACTGGTGGCCATAATCAATGGCACACATGTCATATGAATGAGGACATTTGTAGGATTGTGATGATAGGCTCCATACTATATTTAACATTAGCACTTTTCTTAATGAATCGTATATCAGTTAGGCATACAAAGGTAAGCTGTTTCTCGAGGTTGAGAGACATTCTTGGGGATAAGTGATCTGTCTGATTGGACAGGTTCAAAAGGTTTGTCGATATCTGCGGTATTCAAAGATAAATGAGTTAGATAGAATTCAGAGCTCAAATTGATAGTTCCAAGGTTGAGGCGCAATCATCCCCTCGATTCACTCATTGAAAATAAAGAAGTTCTTGGTTTGGATTGAGTATGGTTTGGTTCGAGTACAAGAGATTGAGAAAAGATAGAAAGAGAGATGATAGTGAGAGGGTAGATAGAGGTGGGAAGAAGGTAATCAATACATCAAATCAATTCAAATCAATTCAATTCAGCCAAATTTGCCTATTCAAGCAGGACGCTTTTGGAGAAGGGGGGGTTGAATATCAAATGGAAGGCATATGAACTTGTTCAATTGTTTCAACCTCGGAACGGAATATCATGTCATTTCGTAATTAATCCGTATTAGTAATCACTCGAGTAAATATTAGTTAGTGACTCAATCTACGCATTATACCGTGTATATTTCATCCTTAGTGTCGCGAGAAAAAAAAGGATCGCGTAACCAAGCTTATTTATTAACTAACCCATTAACCTCAACCTCGCTGTCTCGCCCCGTCATTGCTCCGTTCATCTTCTTTAATAATAATTATAGAATTCTTCAATAATTAACAATTCTACTACAACAGCATTGACAAACCTTTGCGCATTCTCTGTAACATCTTCCAGAGATCTGCCATAGTGTCACGTCTTTGCAATTCATTCATTTTCCAAAACAAAAGTAGGTTGAAAGAGAACCAATTCCGGCTTATCACTAAAAGATTTTGACTCGAAAAACAAAGGAGACTAACAGTCGCAGTATACCGAGACTTACTCGGTGCATTCTAATATCCTACTACGAACGACTACCTCTAAACGGACTTTGCGATCCGAATAAAACATTTCCGATATTTACATGGGGCTGCGCGGATATCTTGGGAACGAGAGCAAGGCTGAACGTTGAACGTTGAACGTTGAGCATCAAGGAAGAAGGCATTCGAAAGAAACAGCATCATTGTCTTGAACGTTAAGAATCAAGGAAGAAGGCTTTCGAAAAAGAACAGCATCATTGTCTTGCTAGACAGATAAACTAAATTAGCCTTTTTCCCGGCTCCATTCGATAACCACCTTCTCTACCGTATAATACGTTTCTATAAAGGAAGAAGATTGCTACACCGCGATCGCAAATACACAGTTTTAACTTGCCAGAAAAGCATTGATTCTACAATTCTATCTTTCTACCATTCTACCACTCTATCCAATTCGCTATCTCTTTCGCTATACACCAATAACAATGTTTTTTCTCTACAATCTTGAGCGTCAGGTCACCCTGCACCCATCGTACTTTGGTCGCAATATGCATGAGCTGGTGACTGGGAAGCTACTCAAAGATGTAGAAGGGACATGTACGGGACTTTACTACATTATCACAATTATGGATACCTTCAACATTTCCGAGGGAAGAATTCTTCCAGGAAGTGGATTGGCCGAGTTTACTGTTGGATATCGAGCTGTAGTTTGGAGACCCTTCAAGGGCGAGACCGTAAGAACTCGAAAATGTGATTCATTTCCTGTGCATTTCTCATGAAATTATGTAGGTCGATGCCATTGTAACCTCAGTCAATGCTGTCGGATTTTTTGCGGATGCTGGTCCGTTACCACTCTTTGTATCTGCACATGTAAGTCTCATTCATTATTATTCGCATGTATATCATACTAATCTAATGCAGCTGATTCCTCGTGACATCAAATTCGATGCAAATGCAACACCACCTCAATTCACAAATAATGAGGACTCTGTCATTGAGCCAGGTACTCATGTCCGAGTGAAAATCATCGGTACAAGGCCTGAAGTTGGAGCCATGTTTGCCATTGGAAGTATTAAGGAGGATTATCTTGGGTGAGTCTCCGGTCTCCCGACTTTCCATTGAACCGACGAGTTTAACTTTTTGTCTAGCTGTTTACAAGCCTCATGATTCTCAAATTTCTCACGCTGGGGCTCTAACCAAACCCTAACACCATTCCGGTAATTTCAGTCTTGCCTCGAGGTATTCTGATTTCAAGCCTGGACCCCCCTCACATCTCGCATCTCGATCCCGAAATAACGCTATTGTGAATTCGTGGAGATGGCGACCTTCGGCGTTTGCTCAACACTTTGAGCTATGGAGGATCGGTTAAAGCCCATAAATGTTAGTATGGCATGAATCTGGGCAGACTTAATATCACAAATGGATAGATAGATGAATGGATGGTTATGTCACAAGTATTTTCTGCTCCTGTATTTTGTGATCTCTTGCGTGAATCCCCGAGTATCTCCACCCTGGAATGGGTAGTCCAGCTTCAAGCTTCCTAAATCTTCTCTAGTCGAAATACCGTCGTCATTCTCTAGGAATCCGTTCAAACCATAGCGCAATTCACAGGGACAGGGCGTGCATAAATGATTGTGTCGGGTGGGAAGGTATAAAACTGGGAAGGTATAAAACTTGGAAGCTCTTGCTAGTACATGATTGATAGTTCAACTTGGCGCTTCGAACCATCCATTTTGGTCTTAGTTTGCACCGCTTTCAAGGTTAAAGCTTCAAGTCATCCATTTTGGTCGTAGTTTGCACTCAGGTTTGAGAAATATCCCCATCCTCCTCTCCCATCCAATTCTAGGCCTAGGATGGAGTTCCTATATCCTATATCCTGTTGATTTTGTAAATACAAGTATCCTCATCCTGCTTAGTTTTTGAATAAGTTATACTTATCTTTATTCTGATGGAATGATATAACACTCGAGTAGAGTTATATAATTAGTTTAAATATATAATATAATATATTATGATTATAATTATATACTTTTAAGTAAATTAGATGATATCATATAAAAGTTATATGAAATATTTATATCCTATTAGCTCTCATTCTATTTTATATTATTAGTATTCCACTAATATTCGGCTCTCTATAGAACAGCCGCCTAGTTCCTATTCAGGGAAAGGAAATATCTCTTATAAACAAATATTCCTTTTGAATAATATAAATTTGTGAGGTGAAAATTTTAAATTATAATACTAGAATCTCTACTTGAAATAATCTTATTTGTATATTATAAATCGATAAAGGATATTTGCTTTCTCTGACTGGGAAACAGGTGGCCGTTCCATAGAGAGCCGACTATTATAGCCTCTGAAATTTTCGAGACCCCTTATCCTGCTTAGCCTTTTAAACTCTATCATCCTTCCTATCCTCACCTGAAGGATATGATAGGACAGGATATTTCAAATGCCGTCTACACCATTTCCAAGGCCAACCTCCAAGCAGCTTAGCTTTGAGAATTGGTAGTCATGATGTCCTAGTCTACAAGTCCATCTAACTAACCCGATGTATGACCCTAGATCCTCTTCTAGTTTCAATGGCTAGTATATTGTACTAGCACATTGCCCTGACAACGAAGAATCCTATTGCTCTACTGCTGATATACATGTTCTATCGTATCCTCACATCCACGACCTGTTGAACACTGCATATTGTAAGATTACATTGTTGTAAAACCAAAATCTCAAAGATATCTTTACACTTTATACAGAAATCTAAAGCTACTCGACATTGTACAGCTTCAAATAATATCGTTAATCAATTACCTCGCTCGATATACCTTTCCATTCGACACTACATCTTATACAGATAAATCTACATCTACTCAACATTGTATACTCTGCAACATTGTTGCCTACTTACTTCACTCGATATACCTCTCTATTCGACATATCATCTAATCACTCGATATTTCTTTCCGTTCGACATTATCACCCAGTCACTCGATATGCCCTTCTATTCGACACATCACTCAGTCACTAGCCATGTCTTCTAACTCCAGTTCAAGTTACAACAGACGCGGGTCTGTTGGTTCCACCGGCAGCCATACCAAAGTTCACAATCTGTCAGTTGTCAACTGCCTCTGCCAAGCCAACTCCATCACCTGTCACCACCGCGGACTCATCTGCAAGAATTCAGTCTTCACGGGTTGGGCCGATATTCCGCGCAGCAAAGGGCGTGTGAAAAAAGTCGCCAAAATACAATTGACGGCACCACCAGCCCGCCCCAATCCCACCGCGCACCTCGCCGTGCTGCGGAACCCCACACACCCGGAGTGGAAAGCGAGACCGGAGAATTACCTCTCGCCCGCGCTGTGCAATATCTCGCCCGCCTATATCAAGCGCGTTGTCGAAACCGAAACCCGCGAGCTATTGTTGAAAGGGGGGGGTGCGAAGAGCTCCTCGTTTACATTGGCACGGGCTCAAACCAATGAGATAAACCTCGAGAACGAGAAATATTGCTCGTTCAAACAGAGACAGAAGGAAAGGAGCCGTGAGGAGGCTTCCATCGACGACAGCATCAGCGGCAGCAGGAGCAGCAGGAGCAGTAGGAGCAGAAGCGGCAGCATCAGCAGCAACAGCAGCGGCAGCAGCAGTGACAGAATCACCAGAAGCCAAAGCCGAAGCCGAAGCTGAAGAAGCAGCATCAACACATAATGTGTGAAGCGAGGACGGACAATACCTCGACCGCCAATGTCTTGAATTATTTCAGACAATACCTACTTCGACCTCCAATGTCTTTGATTCCCTCAGACAATAAACGGTACTCGAATCATGTACCAATTTCCAACAATTTGGGCTCTTCAAACCATATACCAATTTCCGACAATTTGGGCCCTTCGAATCATAAGCGGATTTCGAACAATACGCCCGGCGTTTTGGTTATACCATTTTTGTCATTTTTGTCATTTTTGTATTTTGTATTTTGTATTTTGTATTTTGTAACTTTGTAATTTTGTAATTTTGTAATTTGTAATTTGTAATTTTGTAATTTTGTATATATCCATGTATTTTGAATCAATCAATAAAAACGTTCTATACAATTACATACAATCAAAGTCCAAACACTGCGAACAAACCAGTGATTGAGTATACCTCTTTTAACTTGAATACTGACTTTACTTTACTTTGGATATAGGACTCGAACAGCTGGAAAAGCTCGTATCCCATATATTCTTGGCATCATTCATGATGATATTATGGTAATTGGACGGAAGTTCGCTGAAAGATTGGGATGATATCGATACCATGTCCATTCTACTATTCGAACATTGAATATCCTTTCTCACGGTTTTGAAGTCATGTGTTACTGTTACTGATGGGTTGTCATCTCATCTCATGAGTTGTGTTGTCATTGGTTGGCAGTGTTTTGTTATTGATTATTCTGATTACTCCCGGGCATTACAGTAAGTATAGATAAATACTTCCAACATTTCAGAATTCCATACATTAAATAAAAGCAGATTCATAGGTATGCAAATTGCTCCTAGTTCAAAGAAATTAAAAGAAAACAAAAAAAAAACAAACACAAGCAACCGAAAAGGTCAATCCAGTAAGTTTTACAGCCATATCTTTTCTTGCCATTACTTATGCTCTGTAACACCACGTTTTCTAGACATTGCTTCCCAATGCATATAAGAAGCGACTCCACCTTGTTGTCTGAAACCTGAATGAATCAAGTGTAAATATAGATACCTAGCCCGCTCACCATTTGCGGTCAAGAGAGCGTTATTTCTAGCAAAGCCCTGAGTTTCCAAACCTTCGTGGACCACTGCAATTTGCAGCTGCCCATTGGTAAGGCGCTGCACGGCATTATTGAGCTGTTCCTCGTCATAATAGTCCCGCCGCCCTGCATCTCCGACTCTCGGAACTGTGTCAACCCATTTTCTCAAAAAGTTTTCTGGGGTTAGGCCTCGGGTCCATGGCTCATTGGGATATTGATGACGCATAGCATTTGCAACGGCGGCTGCGCCGCATTGACCGAATCGACCAGAAACAGAAGCTGGCGTAGGTAACACATCCCATTCATTTCTTCTGAAATTTTGGATTCTAAGTCTCTCATGAACAGTGCCGGCGTTGACAGTATCCAGCCTCTCCGGTCCAAATTTAGTGAGTGGCGGGTGTTTAACTATCAATTCTTGGGCGACGACTCTGGATCCCGCACGACGTGTGGCTTCCTCTTCCTCCTGCTGTCTGGCTAATATAAGTGCAAGCTCCTCGTCCGTAAGCGGAGGCTCGCCCTCTGCTTCAAGCATCCTAGCAAACGCCTCGTCCCCACTTGTATCGGGTTTCGGTCTCCACTCGTTCTGGATCTTTTGAGCGATCGTCGTATCCCTTGAATCGCTATGTCCCGGTACATGAGAGGGCAGTGGTATCCGATGATTTTTTGCATGGTGTGCAACGGCCCGTGATACAACATCTTTATTTTCCTGAGTAGTATCGTACAAGTCGTTCACCCGCCTTTCAAATTCCTGCTGGGGTAAGCCGTTGTAGGAGTTTAATACATCGAGGATGACATCGAACGAGTATTGACCTGTGGGCTTAGAACCGGGCGTACGGGGAGACTTAGGGCTCGGCTTTTGTTTTTTGCCATCTTTCTTATCTGCTGAAAGGTCTTCTGCGTGTCTCTTCAAGGACAAACTTGATATAGGAACCGTAGGAATTGAGTGGGAAACCTGGGCTTGTGTTTTACCAAACGTTCCAGCAACCAATTCCTCGAGCTGTTGCTTGGAAAGTGATCCAACTGGAACCTTAGGTGACTTGATTGGAGCCTTAGGTGATTTGACTGGAGCCTTGGGTATTTTGACCGGAGCCTGAGTTGTTGAGAGAGATTTTTGGATACTAGGAACCGTTCTGGACACGGGTTCCTCATCTGAGACTACTTCTTCTTCATCATCCCATGCAGGTTTCGAGGAAGTAGGCTGAATAATTGAGCTTGTTACTGTTGGACGTGTATCGATAGGATGTCCAATATTACCGGAAAGAATCCCAGTCTTGAATTCATCATCTGAGGGTACTTGTTCTTCATCATCCCATGCAGGTTGCGTGGAAGAAGCTTCAATAGTCGAGCTTGTCACTATTGGTTCTATATCCATGGGATCTTTAAAAATATCATCGGTAAAAATCCCAGTCGTGGGTTCCTTATCTGAATCTGTCGTAAAATCGTCCCATTTGTAATTGGGATTTGGCACGAAAATTGTTTTTACACCAGGAAAATAACTGAATGATGTTACTTTAGCATATCTGCCACCTGGAAGTTTCATATAATGAGTAGTATCGGCTGTCCCCAGATCTTTCTCTGGCTCTTTTGACGTCTCTGGCTTTTCTTGCTGTTTCCCATCACCCACGACGCCGACTCTCCCTGGTGTAGCAAAAGTAACACCTCCAGAGCCGGTAATATCTGGATATTGGACAGTGCCGGGTACTCCTGTTGCTTTGAAGGGATCTGATGCAGTATTGTATCTTGTATAAAAGTCTTCGGGGCGTGGAATATCATCCCCAACAAACGGATCTTCCAATCTTGGGTCAAATGGCAATGTGCCTGTCTTGCTATCTGGCCCTATCAATGAGGATGATGTTGGTGGAAGTGGAGGAGCAGTAGCAGGAATCGAAAATCCAGGTCTTGGTGGAGGTGGCGCGACACTTGTCTGTTTATATAATCCTGCCAATGAGAAGGAAGGCGGTGGAAGTGGTAGAAGTGGTGGACGCGGTGGAGCAGCAGCAGAAATATGTAACTCAGCTGGGGTATGAACGGGAGATGGTGGTGGAATGGTAGAGCCTTCAGCAGTGTCTACATCAAAGAAGGGTTTATTGGAACCATCCTTTGCTTCCAACATTTTCATCAAAGCAAGTTTTCTCGGTGAAATAACTTTGCTAGGCGTTTCTATAGGTTTTGGGGTTTTTGACGGAACCGCTGGAGTAGTGGGAGAGTATAATGGAGGTACGGGGGGTAAAATTGTTTTAGTAGGTTTTGGCTTCAGTGGGGCGGCTAGCGTTGATGTTTTGTCCTTCGATCCTCCAGGAGGTCGTGGGGGTCTTCCATCGGGAGGAGACTTGAGTGGTGCTCCGCCAGGTCGTGCTCCTGGACCAGAGGGGGTTTTGGAAGGTGATTTGGTTTTCTTTTCCGTGGGAATATTCTCAATATCACTTCGCTCGTCCTCATCCCTCCCCACCACCATATACTTAGCGATTCTATGTTGCCAATATCTCATGGTCTCCTCATCAAATTGCATTTCTTCCAACAAATGGAATATATCAAGCTTTTTACCGTTGTCGTCGACATCGACATCTTCAGCCCAATTCTTAATTCTGGCGTCTGGATTGTGAAAATAGTGTTCCGCAAGCTGTACTAGCCCCACGCAGAAATCGACCCAATGAGTGACATCTTCTATATCTAGTGAACCACGAGCTTGTCGAAATTCAATGGTTGAGGGTCGTGTTGGACGTGTCAATGGTCTAAAATTTACGACCCTGAGCCTGGATAATCCAGGAAAACACATGTATTCAGCGACCTCCGTTTCGTCTCGAAGCTTACTAATCTCATCGCGAATCTGCTGAATTGTTCTTCGTTGCCTCAAGAGAGATGTCGTCGTACGCTGGTCCCAGAGCAGCGGTGTGTTCTCATCAGAAAGGACAAAATTAGGGCCTAGGAATATTCTCGTGCGATTACTCGTAAGGTTGCTTCTAGCAACACGATGTCCTGGACGACGACATCTAGGATGTAGCTTTGATATCTCCTCTTCGTAAATCAACAGAATGCCCGCTAATTCTTTCAGGACGTCGAGATCGAGGACTTCAACGTGAACCTGCAGAGCACATTGATTTGTGATAAAGCCTTCATATAGATCTTCGCCGTCGCCCTTAAGTGTGTTGACCACTTCTTCAAGCTCGACTCTATCTTGAACGTTGTTGCTTCCAAGAACTCGAGATATCACTTCGATGCCATAAGAATCCCAATTTTTCCAAACATTGCTAGAGAGACGTGGCAACCATTTATAAAGATTTGCGGAACCTTGACCAACGACTGTTCTATCTGTCGCAACGATCCATTGATTGTAGGCTCCATCAACCTTATCTGATGATTCTTGTTCTCCCCTGTGCTGAACTTTATTTCTGACCAGTGCAACCTTCTCGTTCAATTTTCTCAATACTATTGATTGTGGCTCGAGGTCATAGGGCCTCATAATAGCTTCACTCTTGACGTTGTTTTCAAGAATACCCCAACTATTGTAAATGAGATTGGAAGTTCTGCCAAGGCGTGCCGTGACAGCTGGACTCCACGCTGGTGTGCGACGAAGGGCTAATGGGACATTTTTCTCAATTCCATGGTCAGGGCCGCGCCCAAAAGTATCTGTAAGATCGAGTTCTAGCTCATGGAATGCCAAAACGTATTCTAGTTCCACCCCATAATTCAAATTTCTGCGATTCAAGTCTCCTTCGGGTGTCCCAGAGATATCCTTGAGTAGCGGAGACAACAGTGCGGATTGATCTGCAAAAATAGTAGGCGAGGTAGCCCGTTGAAACCAGGCGAATACCATATCGAAGACTTATGGGTTTTTTTACTTGTATCAGGATTTTCAGCGGTAATTTGGGACATATAAACAGTTTTGATGGCTGCCGTGAAAAGGAAGAAATAGTATTCTTTGATGATATAATAACCGAAAACGGACTAGAACAAAGATGCGCATAACAAGAAAGGAGCTTGATTTAAGGGGAACGAAACAATCGAAATCAAACATATTCCTTTATTCAAGCCTAGGGCATTTTCATACTGCGAGAGCATGCTCTCGTCGTCCTGTTTGCTGCAAGGCAAAGTTTGACATGAACACCAAGATCCACCGACTTTACACAAACGTACCAATCCCCCATTTCAATGATTGACAAAATTATATGAATGTTGCAACGCAATGTACACTCACGGCCAGGAGTTGTTTACTATATAGAAGGGATCAGAATACTCAGAAACATCTCATTTGACCATTTCACCCTGAAGATGGTCCTTGACAAGGTCTTCAGTGAAGCTGATTCACATCAACTGCATAAACAATTGCCTAAGGGAAATATCAACATTGAGGAAAGCACGAGACTACTCGTAAGACACGCAATAGGTAGTCATGCTGAATGTCCTTGAGTAGAATTGCCTTAGTAAAATAACAAAGTGTTCAAGCACTGAACGTCAAAACGGCTTTGAGCATAACAATTGATTATCCACCAAGACTTGAACACAATGCGCAAGATAAAGAATAAGGGGACAAAGCTACTACCAACTTGAGCCGCTTAGTCACGCATAGAAATGATACCTTTCAAGAGATAGAACCATGAAAATATTCGATGAAATAATTGGCTTTACAATATCTAGCAGGCAGCAGGCAGCAGCAAATACAAAACCCAATCACTCCTCACTTGTCTGAATCTGATTCTTCGTCTTCATCCTCCTCGGGTATCGTTTCTTCATCCTCAATTTGCTTGATCTCCTCCGCAGATCCTGATGATACAGATGAACCTCGGTGCATCAAAATAGGCGGATCAACATCCTTTGGTCGCCAAGCTGTGGAAGTTGGCGACTGCAAAGACTCCAACTTATGTATGGATGCTCTACGGGAGGCTCTCGATTCGGAAAATGGCGCGGCGCTCCAGGTTGAGTCATCGGAATTTTGTAGTATAGTGATTATTTCGAAAGTGTGCCTCTCTTTAGGAGTGGGTACAGTGGGTACAATGGCAGGTTGTAGTGCTTTCTTAGGTTCGGATTTGGTAGCGTTAATTAATGCTTCTGTTGCCTTTTTCTTCATATCCTTTGCCTTCTGTGCTGCTTCCTGAGTTGCTTGTCGCATGGCTAATGTGATGGTTGTTTCGGCAGCTCCAGATGGAGGTTTCGATTCGACGGATCTGAATGTCGACGCAGGAGGTGCGGCGGGAGCCACAGCCGGTTTGTTATTCTCTTGGGTATTTGTTGGAACTTTTGCTGTGATGGCAGGATTCGCACCGGGTCCCGATACAGGCACAATCTTGATATGTTGCTTCAATTCGCCGTACTCGTTCCAATCCTCAATTTCAACGAGATCCTAACATCGTTAGCCGTATCCTCAAGTAATCAAATCCGACTTACACCAAGAACAAGCCCCATTTGAACCAAGCCTGGGATCTTTCTAGCACGCCCTGATTCATCTTTACCAGCTCTGCGACCCCATAACATTCGTGCCTTCTCGTCGGTCGCGATATCAAGCGCTTTGAAAGGGATTCTGTTTGCTTTCAAGATGGTCTCTAACCTCGACGTAGCGGTAACAATGTGCGATGAACCGGAAGTCAATGATGTATACAAGTAGAGAGCAGGATCTGTAGAATAAGACGCAGGAGTAGAAGATGATGCCATATCTGTAGCTATCAATGGCCGAATTCAGGAATATATTGTAGCTATAGAAGACAAATAACTAGTAGGCGACGAAAGTGATAGGTGAAGGTGAGGAAGACGCTCAGTGTTTTCCCCTTTGAATGATTGTATTATGGTTAGAGCTTCACAGAACGAGATTGGGTATTCATAAAAGCTTCATATATTCTCAAACGGCATAAATCCAGAGGGGTTTAAGGGACCGTGAATGTCATTTCTATATTGGGGCGCGTTGTTTCAGGCAAGGTAAAGCTTATCGGTACGGGAATGCTTTGATAAGAGGAGAAGAGCTTATCCCGAGGTGAGTGAGTGAGCAACCCGCCCCACGATCCCAACCGAGCCAAGATCAATACCTTCACAATACAAGAAACAATGGCATCTTATAATGGAGCTCAATTGATAGCTCATACTTTGAAAGATCTTGGAGTTGAGGTTGTATTTGGTCTGGTTGGTATACCGGTAGTACAAATTGCGGAGGAGGTAATTGCTTTAGGGATTCGATTCATCGCATTTCGAAATGAACAAGCCGCAAGTTATGCCGCTACTGCATATGGATACTTGACAGGACGACCTGGAGTTTGTCTTGTCGTGGGTGGTCCTGGGGTTCTTCATGCAATGGCAGGTATCGGTAATTCATCTGCCAACGCCTTCCCAATGCTTTTACTCGCCGGCTCGAGTGAAACACATCTGGTCACGAAAGGGGCTTTTCAAGAGCTTGATGCTATATCTCTCTTAAATCCGCACACAAAAGTTGCTATACGTTCGAACCTCGACTCGATATCACATTCAATCACGACAGCTTATAGAATATCATGGTATGGGAGGCCCGGGACAGGTTTCATTGATTTGCCCGCAGATGTTATACAAGGAGAAGGAGAATACATATCAACACGGATAGTGACTGCTGCACCACGGGCTGCAGGAAATCCAGAAGTTATACAACAGGTTGCGCAATTACTTAAGTCGGCAAAAGCACCACTTATCATTGTTGGAAAAGGTGCTGCATACGCGCAAGCCGAGTCTATACTACGACGACTGATCAACCAGACCAAGATTCCTTTCTTACCATCTCCCATGGGAAAGGGAGTTTTGCCTGACTCGCACCCATCTAACACCGCAGCTTCTCGATCTGCAGCACTCAAAGGCGCCGATGTCGTTCTCGTTCTCGGTGCACGACTCAACTGGATACTTCATTATGGCGAGGCACCAAAATATAATGCGGATGTTAAGATCATTCAGGTCGATATTTCAGCTGAAGAGATTGGAAAGAACAATGGCAATGCTGAACTTGGAATCATTGGTGATATCAATGTCGTTGCCGGACAACTAGCGGATGCTCTTCACGGCTGGCAATATGATACATCTTCAGCATACGGGAAGACCCTGAAAGCAAGCACAAGCAAAAATGAAGCTACCGCTGCCAAGTCTGCGGCGGTGGATAAAATACCGATGACATATGGCAGAGCTTTTAATGTAATCAAAGAAATCATTCACAAACTATCTCCACCTGAAGATGGTGGCGTAGTTTACGTGTCTGAGGGCGCGAACACCATGGATATTTCACGCAGTGCATTCCCCGTGGAACATCCACGATTGCGTCTTGATGCTGGCACACATGCAACAATGGGCGTGGGCTTAGGGTACGCCATTGCAGCTCATTGTGCGTATAACTTTCCTTCGCGAGAAGCGCACAGTGGGCCAAACTCTTCCCCCAAAAAAGTTGTTTGTTTAGAAGGTGATTCTGCTTTCGGATTCTCACTAGCAGAAGTCGAAACGATGGCGCGGTATGGAATGGATATCCTTATCTTTGTTATGAATAATGGTGGGGTGTATCAAGGCGATAGCGAAAGCTCTGATGCGTGGTTGAAATTACAAAAGAACAGTGAAGTAGGTTCAAAGGGAGGGCTACGAAGTACGAGCTTAGGATGGGAAGTTGGTTATGAGAAAGTTGCGGAGATGTGTGGTGGAAAAGGCTATCTAGTCCGTACTCCTGATGAACTTGCAAGAGCCACAGAGGAGGGTTTCAAAGCGAGCGTACCCGTGATCGTAAATATTATTATAGAAACGGGAGCACAGAAGAGTTTGGTAAGTAATTCCTCAATAACCGGTTATGATTGCTCGACTAATCCAGTTGAAGGAATTTGCATGGCAGCAAGATTCGAGGAAAAGTTCAAATAAGCCAAAGCTCTGAGAGTTTTTGAGGTGTTTCGCTGAGACAAAGGTGGGTGCCCACAGCTTTGGAATCGCTACTCCAGCCAATCGGGAAGGTACATAAACCGACTCAACGTTCTGATATTCGTAAAAGTCTTTCTTGCTCTGTTAATATGCTACTATCCGGGATGGATATTCAGGTTCATGATTAGGAGCAGTGATCTTCGTTTGCATCTTTTGAAATAGCTGGTCCAACTGCAAAGCTGCAAAAGGGATCAAAGACTGAGACATGCATTTGGCCATGGTTACATGCTCTCATGTACAGTATTAGTTTCATCCTTGTTCTCCGCTTCTTTTTGTCTTTCGTATCGATATTAGGGCTCTCATACTGTATATTGGAATCAAATACCTGTATGGCTATTAGAATATGTATAATTGTATCATTAGTCGCCACTTGACTTTTTCACCACATATCTTTTCTTCCATCGCTCATATCGCGCATCGCTATTCCAGCTCGACTTCATGATTCTCAGTATTCGCCACCACTCTACTACCGCATCAATAACTCGCGACACATGTGAACATACTACATCTACATTACACTTCCTATCAACCTAACCCCCATGTGCTGGCCCGCTGTCTACTCCATTCGCAACAAGAAACCCAAAAGACAGATGTCTGACCGTCCCAAGTCTCCCAAAGCCAAATACCAAACCGAACGAATTATTCGCGTCGATGCCATGCCTCCCGCTTATCGATCATCTACATATGTGGTGCAACCAGCTCTCCTTCCCCTCAATCATTGCCATGGAAATCTGTACTTAGTTCAAGAACGTGAACGCGAACCAGAGCGCGCGCCGGGACAAGAAAGGGAAGGAGCTAGAGAAATAAATAGGAGACCAAGTTGCTCGGATTTATTCCATAGTATTGATGTTATGCAACGATTGGGCGAAAGATTCAAGGTGCTAAATGCGACGTTTTCTCATCCGTCTCCTCCCACTCCGAACGCAAATTCAGGCAATAACAATTCCTCCCCTTTGCTGCCTCCTCATAACGGGAATCCTGGTCATGGTAACACCAATGCTCCTCCTGCCCAAGCAAATGATAACCCTGCGAACGCGGCATTAGCAGCCAGGATTAAAGAATTGAAAAAGGAGAAGGAAATTGAGAAGTTGAATGGGGAATTGAATGGGTTTAGGGGTGATATCAAAGAGCTGCAGATGAAATCTGAGAGAGAGGAAGGAAGGAGAGAGGGGAGAATGGAGGGAATGGGTTTGGGTAACAATATTATGGTGGCTGGTCACGGGCGCAATTTTGGTGATTCTTGGATCGACACGAATGGAGAACTTGGTCATAATTTCTCACAACGTCGTGGCCAAGATCGAGATCGAGACGCAGAAAATACAAGACGGAGAATCGAAGCGTTGGAACAGCAGAGGGTTAGAGAAGTGGGTGGTGAGTTACTGCTGCGCAGAATAGATGATAGATTGGAGGGAAGACTGGATCGGATGGCGGATGCGGAGAGACAACGGGAAATAGTGGTGTTGAGGGAGAGGGAGAGGGAAAGGGAGAGGGATATGGAGAATGAGAGGAGAATTAGGATGGATAGGTTTGAGGATAGAGTTGAGGGGCGTGTAGATAGGTTTGAGAATCGTGTTGACAGGATGGTGGAACGGGAGTTTGATAGGGTGGGTGAGGGTGTAAGAGGAGGGGAAAGAGAAAGAGAGAGAGAAAGGAGGGAATTAGAGAGATATGCGAGACCGAGAATTATGAGGGAGAGGGAGAGAGAGAGAGATTGGGAGTATGGATATGAGAATGGTTCTGGGTATGGAGGGCGCAGGTATCGAGGGTATGTGTAGAGGGGTTGGTTGGATGGTATTTATTGAAGTTCTCTTTGTGGAAAGTGATAGATGATGGATGGATGGATGGATGAATGCATAGACTTAGAATTTTGTTTTTAAATCTTTTGGGGTCTCTGGTTGTTATGGATAGAAACTAGAGCGTGAGAATTAGATGTATTTGAGTGAATCATCATTGCCGGTTTCTTTATTAGTACATCTCATCTGATATACTTTGGAGGTGAAATTCCATTCCTCGAATTGTGTGGTTTATTTATTGAATTCCTTTCATCTCAATACATCTATCTAATGAATCTTCTCTCACAATTAATGCTTTTCCAACCATCAATCATAGACTCGAAATCCCGGGATCTTCTCACGAGAATTTACATACTCAACCCTCTCCCCGCTGCTCTAGAAAACATCATTTGTTATTTATCGTCACACATCACTACCCCATCCATCTATCTATGTATTACTTTCATATCCCATGATAATAACCATCGTCAATAACCAGTCATCATAAACCCACCCCGTCACGCACGCACGCTCGAGAACTTCTTGCACCCTTCTTATATAATCCGTAATCGACATTATTCATGATGATACTGTACGGAAATATTTCCTCGTATCCCCCCTTTCCCTCCCTCTCCCGGTAAACTCCTCTTAAAACGAGAACTGGCCAAGAAAACAAAACTCCTCAGCATTTCCAAAATTCCATGATATGAATAGCGATCATACCCAGTGAAGCAAGCCTCCCCAAAACACCCCTCCGCCTGATTCGTATAGCCTCATCGACTCATCTGAACATGATGATGAGTACTGCGTGACAAACTCATGCCGATCTTTAGCTGCGCATAACCGTCGCCCCTCCCTTGGACTATTCTGCAATGAAGCGGGATATTAAAAGTTCCAAGCACCTGGCATTTGTCTTTCCGGGTGTTCGACCATATCCCAGAACTCTGCAAGGGCACCCTCATGTATATACACGGGATCTTCGGTGAACCAAAATCGCCAGTCGTTTCTCTTCGGCCCATATGTAAAGCTTATCAATCTTATGTACCTGGAAGTAAGACCATCTTTACTGTGTCCACCGCAAGAAAGTACTTTATAATCGGGCTTAAACTTTAACTTCTCCCACCGACCGTATTCAATTAGATCCACTCCTGCAGATATAAGTTCATCAACCCAAATTCCGAAGGGATCCGCGAGTTCCATTTTGGAGAGATCACTGATTTCACTGCCTTTATAAAGGCCATAGAAATAAATTTTTAACACCCCCTTGAATAAAGTATAAAGAGGACTGCAGTCTAAGCCTGCATACATGCCGAGGTTGTGGAGTGTTGAGCGGCCAGCAAAGAATATTTCACGTATGAGGCTAACAAAATCTCGGATAGGTTCTCTAGACATTGCGTACACATCTGTGGTATCCTCTCCAGAGAATCGCAGATAGTAGTCTGGAATTCGCAGACGTGCACACAGAAATCCCAAGTGTTGAGCAAGGTTTACCAATAATATGAAGAATTCAGAATCGCTCATACTCCGGACGCAAGTTTCCATATTGCTGCCGTTAAGGATTAACCGTTTATAATAAACCATGTCTGATGCCATAAAATCTTCTGAAACTGCTATCAGAAGAAGTGCGTGCTCCCGGTCACTTCGTACAGTAGTAGGGATCTCTGTTAAGTGGATCAGATAATTGAATATTTCCCAGCTTGGAGAAGAACGCGATCTCTTACTAGGGCTCTTATATATAGCATCGAAAACATCACGATCTATCATGGCTGTCAAATAACGTGTTATTTCCATGGAACAACGTTCATCGTGCATATTGTGCACATTGTGCCAAGAAACGGCTCTTGTAACTGGCAAACTAGAAAATATTATCATCAGTGGTAGCTGCGGTGTGGATGCTGAGCAAGAATGGATTGTACTTACCGGCCGATATAATCCTCCACATTTGGGTCTGCACCTTGGTCTATCAAAATTCGGCATATCTGATAATTAAGATGCCGAGCGGCATACTTGTTCCATCAGCATAGTCATTTTCATAGCAGCAAGAGGGCTTCTTACATGAAGAGGAGTTTTTCCACGAGAGGTTACATCGAAGGGGCTTGCCTGCCGCGTTTGGAACAGTTTTTGCATGCCAATTACATCTCCCTCACGGGCAAGTTCCATTATTGGCGCATAGCTATCGACGATATTATATGTTCTAAATGTGAATGTCCATCCAGAATATGATTGGCGATAGGCACAGAACGCCCAGACACCAGAGAAGAAAGGGAGTCCAAGCTTTAGAACTTTTGGATCTTTGGACAGTATCCTCGTAGCCCTATGGCTAGAAATTGAGGTGACATCGTTTGTAGTTGATGTGTTCGAAAGATTCATGGTATGCTGATTCGACATTTGCTGCTGGGTCGCGGCCGTCATTACTAATATGCTGTGCATCATATTCTTAGTCTCCAGATAAAATAGTTTAGCTGTCTGCTGTGATTCGTCGTGTCTCTGATCTTGCATCTGTTCGTTGTCTCTCAAATTCTGCATCTGTTCGTTGTGTCTCTGCTCATTTGAACTCCTGATAAAATTTTAGCTTCCGAAATTGAAGATTAAGAATAGATGTATTACTGAGTAGAGTTCTGTTGCGCCATCATCATCGACGACTTTGCTTTTTCGAGTCTATTACCCATCTTCTCGATGATACCTTTTTTGAACACCGCTTTAATACCGCCCCGCTTCTTTCGCAGTTGCATGTCTTCGTCTAATTCCTTTACAGTGTGATGCAGGACATCCCTTAATCTTCGGCACCGTCGAAGACATACCTTTGTGGCAGGCGACGCTATACGATTTCCGAATTTGTCCTCAATCTCCTTTAGCACCAAATTTGTAATTTCCAGTTCATCCAGGAAATCGAGGATATCTCCAGGAGCATCTTTGACCGAGTGCCAAAATGATTGAAGTTTCCAAATGCCATCGGCCACCTGTATAGCAAAAGAAACAATACCGACTGCGCTGCTGGCTATCTCCATGGTGGTCAAAAATGCAGTTTATAATTGATTGTGACAAGTAAATCGAAGAAAGATGAGGAGGAAAAAACGACAACACACTCTAAGTAGGTATATACCACTAGGTCTGAGGGCTTTGTGAAGCACCGCCTCGAACTTGATACGCATGTGATGTGATACATAACTTCCTGCACAGTGCAAGAGCGACAGCCAAACAAATCCAATCAATGGCCAAATTCGAATATGACTGTATGCTGTTGCAACCTAATACAACGAGCCGCATATTATTGCGCATAAACAGGCTATGTGAGTGACCAGTTATCAGTAAGCATTCAAGGACCAAGATACTATGAAAAACTTTGAGGCTGTCACCAAGTACGAGATGATGAGAGATAATCATATACAGATTACCTAATCAGATTATTATATAATCTAGATCACCTAATCATCCAATCATACAGCTCAAATCTCACAGCCCCCTCTACACCCGGTAAGCAACACCAAGCTCGACAGAAGTAATTTCAAATTATGTAATATACCTCCTTCCTCCTCCCTCACTCATGGTAATCCAACTTCTTCAAAAAATCCCAAGTTTTCTTCAATTTTCCTCCACTGGCAGCATGCACACCCTCCCCATCTTTCCCCCTATCATCTTTTTCACTCCCATGCCTCTCACCCTTCTCACTCTTATCACTCTTCTTCCCCCTCTCACTCTTCCCACTCCTCTCTTCCCCTCCTTTCTCTCCCCCTCTCCCCTTCACATTCCCTCTTTTTCCCTCACCACCCTTACCATATCCCTGATCCCGCTTTCTCCCCCCCTTCTTTACATCTCCTCCAATTTTAGCTTGAACCGGAGACGGTGGCGCTAAACTTTCATCATCATCATCATCGCTATCTATTTCCTGATTTACATTTGTGTTTGCGTTTACATTTATATCATCATATTCTTCGTCTTCACTTCCTTCCAGCTCTCCTTCAAGCTCCGGTTCATCATCACTACCATCATCATGACCCACCAACTTCTCTTCATTTTCATTTTCCTTCTCCATCTCCCCAGTCTTCCCACCCGTACGAGATATCTCAGCTCGTCGATCCCCCCGCTTACGTTCTGGTTTCTCAGCTCTTTCTCGTGACTGGCGCGGCGCAGAATTCTCATGTTTACCAGGTCCCGATGACCTCAATTGTCCTCGCGAAGTATTCGCCCTTTCATCTCCTTGTCCTCCCATTTCTGCCTGATATCTCTGCTGCATCGTAGATTCTCTACGTTGATCTGGAGACACATTATCACCGAGTTGTTCTTCAGGAGCAGGAGCTCGAGCCAACAAATTATTATTATTCCTCGGCAAATAATCTGCACTGCTTGAGCTTGGTGACGCTTCATGGTGAGCAGTCTGCATATCCTCCTCCTGTCTCTCTACTAAATCTTCATCGTATGTTCCGAATCCGCTATCGAGATCACTGTCATTGTCGCTATCGCTATCTTCATTGTTGCCATTCATATGGGTATGATTTTGATGGCGATGATGCCCATCATCATTTTCACCATCACTTTCTAATTCCTCATCACCATCATCCGAGTCTGGCTCAGAATCCGAATCCGACCCACTCTCCACACCCTCATTTCCATCCTCACCTCTTAAACCTTGACTACCCTCTCTCTGTCCATTCCCTCCTCTCACATTCCGTCCATCATGTACAGAGTCCAACCCAACCACATCTCTCGACGAATGAAGCAGCGGAAGCAAACTAGGCGGCCTCATCTCGCTTCTAGCCGGCACTAAAGGAGGTGGCGTATTCAATATTCCAGCTTGCCCATGAAATTTATTACCTCTCGCATCATATCTCGGCGCACCCGGATACGTAGGAAGTGGCACTTGTGGCAACTGCGGTGCATAATTCATTCCAGTTCTTAGCTGTGGCTGAGGTGTATAAGATCCAAAATTAGCCTGTGGACCCCGTACTGACATATTTGTCTGCAACTGCTCAGGAGCTTGGTACGGTATGAACTGTTTCTGCGGAGGTGTCCAGGAAATTTGCGGCATGGGAGAATATTGAACTCCCGGCGGAGATCTCACAGAAGCCAATGCAGAAAAAGGCGAAAACGCACGAGGAGTAGCCACACCGGGAGTAAGAGAGGGCGGAAGAAAAAGCTCTAATTTACCACGGGTACTTGTGGATGGGACTTCTAATTCTACTGGATCGCGCTCGCAGGCAAGTTCGAAACGAGTAGAACGAGGACGGGATAATTGTTGGGGAGTGGAGGGAATGCTGGCATAGGGCGGTGGCCAAGGCGGATCACTGTTGTCGGTGGCCAGTTCTGCTGCGTATTGGGGTATATCTGGAGAAAAAGTCGCAGTAGATTTCGAGGAGTAGTTGGCTGGACTGGCACTGTCCAGCTCTTGGGGCGGCATGTCACTATGATTTGTCGTATAGCCATTCGGAGGTGTGTAATGGTGTTGACCCATGTAAGAGCGATCATCATTGGGCGCGTAACTGTAAGAATCCTGTGGTGTTTGTATGTGCTGATTGTTTGCAAAATAAGAATCATTGTTTACAGGGAAAGTATCTTCTGGTGGACTATCAGGATGATCCTCAGATTCGTGAACAGAATCTTGGTGATCAAGCTCAGAAGCCACCGCTGTAGATGACCGCCTCGAACTTGCGGTAGATGAATTGTCGGATTCTTCTCCATTGTCGCTTTCATCATCAGATTCCACATCAGAATTCGAGCGAGTATCGCCATCCGAATCTTCTTCGTCAAAGCTATCTTCATCTTCATCATCACTGCCAGAATCCTGATCATCACCACTATTTTCCTCGTCTGAATTGACTGCTGTACTTGCATCATCGTCTTGTTCATCTGTAAATGGATCCTTTGTTGATGAAGGACTACTAGGATCTGCACCGCTCGTAACCGAGCTTGAATCTTCATTCTCTGAGACTGGATCCGTTTCTGATTCTTGATCACTCTTCCCATTATTTTCCTGATCTTCCATTTGAATCCACTCTTCCTGTCCAACTCCATTTAGCCAATCTGAAACACCCTTCCACCATGTAGAGAAATCACCACCACAGCAACAATCATCGGCGAAATAAGGTTCGTCAATATCAGCAGTCTGGGTACGTGATTGGCCATCATCAAGTGCATGTTTAGGCTTTCCTTTTCGACCTCGTCGTCTGACACCTCCCCGACCTGTACCGGGACCAGGGCTATCTTCAGAGTTAGGACTCGTAGATGAGCCTGGCACAGGCGAAGATTCTCTAGATTGAGCTCTTGTCGATGGTGGAGGGCTTATAGATCGTGGTCTTGCTGTCATTGAAGGACTGGGAGGTTCACTGTCCATGGGTGACTGAGATGGAGAATCTGCCATTGGGGACTGTCCTTGGGGCGAATCAACAGGGGATTTACTTGCTGTGGAATCTGTAGGTGAGTTTATTGGAGAGCCACTTGCTGTGGAATCTGTAGGTGAGTCCATTAGAGATCCACTTGCTTTAGAATCTGTAGGTGAGTCTGCTGGGGATCCACTTTCTTTGGAATCTGTAGGTGAGTCCATTAGAGATCCACTTGCTTTAGAGTCTGTAGGTGAACCTTCCCGGGAACCTCCCTGGGAACCTCCTTCAGATCCCACTGGAGACTCTTGAAGGCTACCCGAAGACCCACCAGACGAACCCCCTGGCGATGTACCACCCGCCGAACCACCCGGCGACAAACTACCCGAAGATCCACGATCCGAGTCCCCTGACATGGGCGATGAAGCACCAGGTGATCCACCACCTGAAGAGCCTCCCGACCTAGGCGATGAATTCCTCGCGGAAGAATGGCCGCCACCCGGCGATCTGGATCTAGATGTATTCAACCGCGGTAGATTCCTTTTAGGAGAAGAATTTCTACCAGATGGTCCTCTACCACCCGATGATGGTGGTCCCCTGCTATTTGGTGGTGGTCTACCTCGAGAATATGGCTGTGCAGGAGATCTGGAAGATACACCTGCACTACCCCCTTGAGACCTCGAAGAACTAGCAGGTGCTGCAGGAGATCTGGACGATGCACCTGCATCATCCCCCTGAGGCCTTGAAGAACTAGCCGGTGATGCAGGACGTCGCGGGGAAATGGAACGCCGCTGATCTGATCTTCTAGGATCCGATGGAGGAGGAGCACTGTTTCCTGCAGGAGGCCGCATCGGTCGGCGATCACCTCCATTAGATTGAGGAGGCTCACGTCCATATGGGCGGGGGTTATTAGGTATATGAGGTCTGCGATCAGGTGGTCGTCCCAGAGGGCCGCCAGCAGCTGTTGGAACTCCCTTTCCATTACGTCCAGACAATGCACCAGGTGGAGCTCTGTTCGGTAGGTCGGTTTCAATAGGCATTGCACGAGGATCATGTCTTGCTGGAGCTGGTTCTGATGGACGTCCTATATCGCCACCATTGGAAATTTTACGCTCACTTCTGATGTCTCCTGGACGACCACGATTTTCATCAGGAGGAATTCCACGTGCGGATTTTCCATTGGGTGGGATTTCTCTTCGTCCTGTTGGAGAGGGAAGACCGCTTCTTGCATCTTGAGGTGGACCTTTTCCTTTGTGGCCATGTTTCCTATTAACGGGGTTGTTATCTTCCCGTTCTGACCCTGGATTTCGCTTTCCGTTATCAAGTGCTTCACCGGGAGATTGAGGGTTCCCAGGTCGGCCATCGTTTCTTGGTAAATTGTCATTTCTTCTAAGAGCATCCTCTCTCGGTAGAACATCATTTCTCTTGAGAGCATCCTCTCTCGGCAGATTCTCACTCCTCTTAAAAGCATCCTCCCTCGGTAAATTGTCATTTCTCCCAAGAGCATCATCCCTACGTGACGGTACTGTATCCCGTAAAACCCCCGGATGATTTCTATCCCTTTGTCTACCTCTATCCGACGAATCTGGAACGTGACCCTCCGAATTAGAAGGCTTATGAACATCATCGCCATCCCGACGATTATTTAAATTTCTCCTCGTAGGCGAATGTGGCGGCTTCGCCCCCAACAATCTACCCGTCCGTCCATCCACTCCACCACGCATCATATCCGGACGTGAAGAATCATTCGGTAAATCACTTTCATCTACCCGTTTCATCGGCACTTCTCTTCCGTGGCGATCTTTAGCACCAGTACCAGTACCACGGGCCTGGTCTATGGGTAGAGAAGCAACCCCTCGCTGATGATTTTTACCATCTTGTAATCGTTTATTTTCTAAACCTTTGGCTTGTGTTGGGGATTTGGAATCGTCGTCTATTCCTCTATCTGAATCGTAAGAAGATGATCCTTTGGGCTTCTGTCGTTTCGTATCTTGTGGTACTTCGAGGTTACGTAGTTTGGGTTTTTTGTTTGTGGCTTCTGAACTACTGGGTGTAGAACCGGAATTAGGACCAGATCCAGGACCAGAGCCAGAATTAGATGCTGCCGTAGGTGCAGAACGTGTATTAGGTGCCACCGGTCCCTTATTAGAATGTAATTTCCCTTGATCCCTATTCCCCCGCGGTACTTTCCTTGAGTTCTCCTCCTCACCCTTTCCCTTTCTCCTTGCATGCTTATTATCCCTCCCATTACCATCCCTCACATCTTTCTCCCCCGGTCCATCAAACAACGCATCCTTAAAATTAACCATCGCCTCCTCCAACGATTCGGCCCTCAACTTCCCCACATCCTTCACCTCCGTATTCGTATCCACATTAAACATCTTAATATAATTAACCAACATCTGGTTCTGTGCATCAAACCTCACATCCCTCGCAACATCTACTTGTAATGCTTTATACTTCACACCCTTAATCGATTGAGGTGGTGATGTTGTGGAACTCGCGTGGATAATCCCGCATTCGGATATATCCATATCTTTCCTATATGGTAATACGGATAGACACGTACAATGCGTTCCATTATCATCAGGACTTTCCTGCGATTCTCTAATGACAAGAAAGGTCTGACCGGAATCTTCAGAAGCGGTACTAAACACTCGTCCTTTGACGAAGAATTGTTTACCGTGAGTTCGAGATTTTTGTTCGCCATTCCCTCGACGCTCATTCTTTTCTCCTCCGTGTCGCTTATCTGCATTTGCGTGTTTTGGGCGCGGATCTGCCATTCGATTGATTTATTATTGTATATTCGATCGTTTGTTTGGCTTTGGCTTGGCTTTAGCGGGTTGCTTTACTTGCTTTACTTGCTTGCTTGTAGATATGAGCTAAGCTTTGAATCGAGGTGTCGTACCATGGGGTCACGATTAGAATTCCAACATCAAGATCTGAAGATGGTAGTCCATTTCCTTTGGCCGCGGCTTGTGCTCGTCCTTGTATCGTAACGTAACGTAAATTTTCCCGTGAGTACGTTAGTCATGTATGTTGGATTGCTGGTACAGATACGGGTTCATTATCCAGAAGACCATACTTCTACTGGTATCTTCAGTTGGAAACGACCTGCCTGGTCTGCCTGGTCTCTTAGACCTTAGATCTTAGACCTCAGACCTTTCCATACCACAGAACCTCTGCTCCGCAGTACGGGACGTAATCCTACATGTAAAGTATATCATATCCATCTGATGATAATGTAACATAACATAGCATAACATAATATAATATAATACAACCACTTGTGAACTACCAGTATGAGAAGAAGAAAAAAACACAGATTCAACCCTCAAAATTCATACGGGTAAGTCAACTACCCCACTTTTCGGCCACCTTCAAAACCTATGTCGCCTCAGCAACCTACCTTCTTAAATATTTTCTGATTAAATAACCATTCAATCAATTGATTTCAAATTTTGATTTACTATTATTTATATAATATCAAAACTCTACATTGAAGATGATATTGCTGCAGTTTTAAATGTTATCATGAATAATGTTTTGATACAAAAAGTTACTCTGGAATATAGGATTTCTTGTATTATATTTCAGAGTTGTATCAATAACTGTATATCCCATCAAAAAGGTTCCGAAATGATGCAAAATATTGCTCTGATTCAGGAAAAGACATTAATGGAAATAAATATTAATATAAATGAGCTTAGATATTAAAGTCTATTTATTTAGCAAATTACAGTAAATTAGTTGTAATACCTTC